ATGTTGTGTTTTCATTCACGTTTGTTTCCAGGAACTTTGTGAATTCACGTGTAATTTCTTCTTTTACCCAGTCGTTTTTCAGCAGGGTGTTGTTCAGTTTCCATGTATTCGACTTTATTGTTTGGCCTTCTTATTGTTGATTTCTTTTTTTATAGCATTGTGGTCTGAGAAGATGCTCTGTAGAATTTTGATGGTTGTGAATTTATGGATGCTTGATTTGTGACCTAACGTGGTCAATTCTGGAAAATGTTCTATGCTTACTAGAGAAGAATGTGTATTGTGCCGTTGTTGGATAGAATGCTCTGTATACATCTATGAGGTCAAGTTGGTTGAATGTGTTGTTAAGTTCCTCTGTCACATTGTTGAGTTTCTATCTGGTTGTTCTATTCCTTTTCAAGAGTGGTGTGTTGAAATCTCCCACTATAATTATGAATTTATCTGTTTCTTTCTTCAATTCCATTAAGGTTTGCTTCATGTATCTTAGTGCTCTTTCGTTGGGAGCGTATATGTTTATTATAGTTATGTCTTCTTGCTTGATTCACCCTTTGATCATGTGATAGTGTCCTTCTTTGTCTCTTATGCTGGTTCTTATCTTAAAATCGACTTTATTGGAAATTAGTATCGTTGCATTTGGCTTGGTACATTTTTTCCTATCCTTTAACTTTTAGTCTGTTTTTGTCTTTGTGTGTAAGATGTGTCTCTTGCAGGCAGCATATTGATGGATCTTGTTTTCTTATCCATTCTGCCTCTCTTTTTCTCTTCACTGGTGCATTCACTCCATTGACATTCAATGTAATTATCAATAAGTATGAATTGATTGCTGTCATTATGTTACTTTTTTGGTGGTGCTGTTCGTTCTTTGGTCCTGCTTTCTTTCTTTGTTGCCTTTATGCCCTTTGAGTTGTTTCTGGTCGGTTTCCTCCTAGTTTCTCTTTTCACTTGTTCCGCTTGGGAATTCGTTTTTATGATATGTTGTGGAGTGTTAACTTTGTTTGGAGTTACCTTGTAGTCTACTAACTTTTCTCTGCATTTAGGATACTCCATTGTAACCTGTAATTTACCTGGCATCTTCACCACCTGGGCTTCCATTGCTGTGTTTGTCCCTATTTTGACATTGATATGTTTTTGGCCTTCAGTTGATCTCCCCGTTCTTTTGAGTTTGTCGTTGTAGTCTCGTTCGGTTCTGGACTCCGCTATCTGTTGGCTGTGTTCCAGGTGGTGTTGCCATACCTGTCAATCTCTGTTTGTTGTCTGTTCTTGTTGGTTCTCTGTCCACAGAACTCCATTTAGAATGTTTTGAAGTGCTGGGTTGGTTTTGATAAAATCTCTCAGATTCTATTTATCCTGGAATGTTTTGATCGCACCATCATATTTGATTGATAGTTTTGCTGGATAGACGATTCTTGGTTGACAGTTTTTTTCTTGCAGAGCTTTATATATGTCTCCCCATTGCCTTCTCACCTGCATGGTTTGTTCTGAATAGTCAGAGCTTAATCTTATTTGCTTACCTTTATAAGTTATATTTCTCTTCTCCCTGGCTTCTTTTAATATTCTTTCCTTGTCTTTGATTTTGGAGAGCTTGATTATTATATGTCTTGGAGACTTTCTTTTGGGGTCTATCCTTCCTGGAGTACGGTGGGCTTCTTGAATGTTTATCTTCTCATTTTTCAAGATGTTAGGGAAATTTTCTTCCAGAAGCTTTTCAACTATCTCTTCTGTGGACTTCTCTGTTTCTTCTTGTTCTGGAATGCCAATAATTCTTACATTAGTCCTGTTCATGTTATCCAGCATGAATCTAAGACTCTCTTCAGATTGTTTTATTCCTTTAGCTGCTTGCTCTTCTACCTTGGCAGTATTGAGAGATTTGTCTTCAGTTCGCTAGTTCTGGCTTCCATCTCTTCTAGTCTGCTCCTTTCCCCTTTCGGCAATTGTCTATTTCTGATATCTTATTATTGATCACCTGGACATCTTTTTGCAGGTTTTGAATTGTTTCCAATGCTGTGTCAATCCTATTTGATTGTTCCTGCAGTACTTTCCTTACTTGTTCCGTATTTTCCTCGACCCCTTTTCGGATTATTTGACTTTGTTTCCATATCATTCTTCTGAATTCCCTCTGAGGCATATCCAAAATCCACTCCTCCTCCTCTATAAAGCCTTTGTCTGTCTCCAGCTCATTTGCGTCAGCTGCTCTCTTCTATTTTGGGACATGTTTTGATAAAGTTGATTGTTTCTTATTGGTCATGGTTATTGTTTTATTATTATTATTAATATGATCGGGAGATGGGCTTCCCTTTTTGTGTAATGCGTAACAGATGTCGTTGGACCTTGTCTTAGTGGTGGAGTATTATGTTGTATGCTTATCGCTTGGCTATATGGCCACGATTGCTGCTGCTTCTTATGCGACATAGTGAGGTCCTCCAGGAAGGATGTGTGATCAAAAGGGCTAAAAGCAGAAGTAATATAAACGCATGGGCAGAAATCACCACTTTGGAGAAGGGATGCGGCTTTGGTTAACCTTTTCTGTTCCTTGTCCTGCCAGAACAGCCGCTGGAAGATCCCTGCTGCTACCTAGGAGTGGGTGCAGGAGGCTTAGATGCAGGATGGCAGATGGTGGATGATGTCAAAAGTTGCCGCATCTCTCCCTCTCTCTGTGCATGGATGAACTGCCCCTGCCTGATTTTTATTGAGATCTCAGGCCACGGCAGGGAGATTTTTTGGGGGGAGCTATGTCGTTTCCTGCAGCTTTTTTTGGTCCAGGGACCTCTTTTTTACCTCCTGCTGGAAACACCAGTTTCCGAATGGGCTTGCCTTAGCCCCTCCCTCTAAACTCTGCAGTTGCAGGAGCGACCCGTGGTCCCGCGGTCGAGTCCCAAAATGCGTGTTTTTTGTATGTTTTTTTTCCCTTAGCAGTGCAATTTCTCAAAAATGCTAGTTCAGGAGCCTGAAATACTAGATCTTATGATAGTTCAAAAGCCGTGGATCTGGTATATGAACGTTTCCTTCATGAGATCCCCCTCCTTTCTCACCAGAGCTTTCTCCTACCTGTCTTTCCTGGTTATCGTGCAGAACCGGAAGCCCCAATCATGTTTTTTGAGTGCCTTCCAGCCTGCGGGACTCATTTATTCAAACTATTATCAGACAGTGTCCCACTGCTCTTCCTCAGGTTTTCAGTGGTTAAACTTTTAGAAGTGGTCTGCCTATCCTTTCTCCTAGTTTGTCTTAGTCTCGAAGGTCTGCTGGAACCTGACCACCATGGATGACCCTGGTGGTATTTAAAATGCAGTGGTATCGCTTCCAGCATTACAGAAACACATCACCACAGTACTACAAACGGACAGATGATTGGTGACCATCCTACCCAAGACCAATTTATTCTGTTCATGAAGCCCACTGATATGCTCCAAGTACACAGAAGCAATTGTTAAAATTTTCTTGTCTCCAGACCCATAACAACACAGAGATGCTTTTGATCATCGACCAAAAGTGTTCTGTGAGGAATGGGACCTGTGTTCATTGATGGGTCCTTGGCCACCATGTTTTATCACAACCACCCACAGAATGTGAGAATTGGTTCCTAGCCTTGTCATGCATCTTTGGTCATTCTGTGACTACTATGAGCTAGAGTTCCTGTGATTATAAAACAAAATTGTTGGAAGTATGCTTCTTGCTCTGGGAGTACATTCTCTCTCTCTCTCTTTTTTTTTTTCTGTCCTTGAAACTGTGGTCATGAAAACATCATTTAAGAAACAAACTGTTCTCTTATAAAAGGTCATCTCTGATAATGATTGGTCAATCCTCACAGAATTTCATACAGAGGCCTTGCTAACCACCCAACCCAGTCTACAAGCTTCTTTAGTCTTCTGCCCGCCCCCTCATCCCCACCCTCTGGAAGGGTAATGTTTGTATGATTGGTTAGGATGGCATTGAGGTTAAGACAGGATTCAGCCTTGAAGGTACTCTTAAGTCATTGCTTTCTATAACTCAGGCCACCTGAAGGCCATGATCAGGAAGGACAGGCCAGCTGGCGATGCAGCAGGGATGTGTACACCATGGCCCAGTGAAGTGCATGTGATCCAGGAATCAGTCAGCCCAGGCAGGAGGAGCCAGATTGCCCACTGCTTCTGGGCTCATGGCCCAGACTCACCCAAAGTGGGTCCTTGTTTCCCTTTTCATTCTGCATTGTGGTGTTCCCAGAGGGACTATGGCTGCTGGGCCTGGCAGGGGTTAGCAGTACACCTAGAGCAGGGGCACCTCTGACTAACCTGTATCCATGCCCTGAAGGATGGGTCATGGCTGGCTGGGTATCCCAGGCTCCATAAGACTTCAGCTTCCTGGTGATGGCATCTGCGGTGAACCTCTGGGAGGGCTGCACTGTCCGTTCCGCCTGGCTGATGCCTGAGCCCAGCATGGTCTCCTGGCAGCAGCAGTGGGGGGCATTCTCTTGACACTGACATACTTGTGATTCGAGGTAACAGTGCTTTAACATACAAGGGGCTTCAAAAAAAGAAAGAAAAAACTGCAGAGAAATGGCATAGAAAGATAATGGAATTTTTCTACAAACCTAAACAACAGCAACAACAACATAGAAGTTTGTGAATGTAGTGGCAGAAGGAGAGTTTAACTCTGTTTAGAAGAAGGTGACACTGGAGCTGGAATTGTAAGAATGACAAGGAATTTGTGAGACATTTCAGGTGAAGGTTATAGCGGGCACAGAGCCACGGAGTCGAAGAAGAATGGCAGGTAGTTTAAGAGGTGAGGCAGTTCGCAGAGGTTAGACTGTGAAGGCCCTTAAATGCTTTGCTGAAGGGTAGTTCTGTTGGAAGAAAGAGGCCCTTGTCAAGTTTGAAGTCAGGGAGTGAAGCTTGGTGTCTGTGTGGATGTACAGATTGAGAGCAGGTAGGGGCTGACTAGACCTGAGTATGCTTTAGGAAGGGGTTGACAGGAAAAAGACATTGCAGAGACTGATGCATGTTTTTGTTTTGTTTTGTTTTCTCTTCTAGGTATCTGATCCCCTGTAACCACATGATGTTGAGTCAAAGGTGGGCTGTGAAGGAGCGAGACTGTTACTCTGTTTCTGCAGCCAAGCTGCTCGCCCTGACCCCTGTCTGCTGCTCCAGTGGAATCACTCTGACCCTGGGGAACCAAGAGAGGGATTATATTCTCTGGTCAAAGTGTACGCATGACAGCTCAGGTGACCATCTTTAAAAAAAACGATGCCTAAGTCCATCTTTCTTTGGGATTCCCGTCTCTTTGATAGGCAGGGAATAGTGAGTCCCATTTTGTTGTTGTTGTTTTATGAATGAGTAATTGAGGGTCATTTTCTGCTTCATCAGGAGTTGTGGACACTTAGCATTCAGTGTCCATTAAAGTACACAGATCTTTATTTGAAGCAGCCTTTCTGGCAGCATTCTTAAGGGTCCAAATGAAAACATGTGCTTGCATGTCTTCCAAAAGGAAAGGAGAGGTGTGGAGTGGCTAGAGTTTGGATAAAATTAACCCTTATTAACCCAAAATGACTTACTTGTGAATGGCTTGTATGTCAATAATAATTAGCTTTAGAAAACTTGGGGAGAATTTGTAAATGACAGTAATAACGGATTCGTTCGATTGGCCTAATAAGAGGGCTTTTGTAATACTTGATTTTTGCAGGAGTTCTAGTACTTGTGTACTGTCTTCCAGTTATAATTTACCTCAGACAAGTAAGATTTAAATGGCCACTTTTATCATTGTTGGCTCTCTGGCAGTCAAGTGGGTCTTTTTGTGTATCTTTGATGGTAAAATAGCTGTTTTTAATTCAGGAATACATTTCTTTCCTGTGACTACCGGAGTGGACTCAAATGTTTCCAAACTCTATTCTGACATCTCCCAAACTCTGCCTTTCAGTCCACCCAGAGTACTACAGTCCTCTTAGATACAATATATTTAAGAGCTTTACTCAGAAAATTTTTAGCATATTTGGTATAAATATTTTTTTTTTAGAAATTAAGGTTGTCTTATTGATTCATGGACTTTATTTAAAAATATAATGCATACATGGAAATTAATGATTTTATTTGACAGTCCTAATGTGGCTCTGTAGGATAGGCACTAGACTGCTAACCACCAGGTTGGTGGATCAAACCCACCAGCTACTCCTTGGAAACCCTATACAGGATCACTACGAGTCGGAACTGACTCAACAACACTTAACAACAACAGCATAACAAACTATCTTAGATGTATTTTCCTGTTAACTAGAGTGAATAGCTTATGTGTTCCATTTAGTAGTTATTTTTTTAAAAACATATTTGAATATTGATGCCTTTTTAGTTTACTGCTAAGCCAATACGAGGATGTTGAAGAACCAGCCAGTGTTTTGTTCTGTTGTACATACAGTTGCTGTGCATTGGAACCAGCTCAGTGGCCCTTCACAGCAACAACAGAGACAAAGATGGTTGTTTCAAGAATGATTCTGTGGTTGATCTTTCATCAGAATCCAGAATTCAAGCTAGGCATAGGATTGTTGAGTATCTGTGACCTTCAGAGTCCTTATCCTCTGTTATCACGTTTCATCTGTTGAAGAAGGTGATGTTGTGTTGTTGTTGTTAACTGCTGTCGAGTTGGTTCTGGCTCACAGAGACCCTGCATAGGATTCCTGAGGAGTGACTTTTGGGTTTGGACCACCAACCTTCTGGTTAGCAGTCTGGTGCTTATCCTATAGTGCCACAGCAGGATAGTGTTCCCATTTTATAGACAAAGAAGCAATCTCAGAGACAGAGTAGTTAACTTGTTTAAGGCTACACAGCTGGAAGATTCTATGATTCCAAATGACTTGTTCTGTCCACAGTACTGCCTCTGAGGTGACCTTAAGTGGATTCCAATTCAGCAGTCCTACAGGGCAAGGTAGCACTGTCCTATAGGGTTTCCAAAGTTGTAAGTTTTTATGCAAGCAGACTGCCCTTGTCTTTCTTCTGTGAAGCAGCTTGTAGTTTGGAATTGCCAGCCTTTTAGGTAGTGGCCAAGCCCTTTAACCACTGCAGTGATCATTTAGGGTTGTCTTATAGAGGACAAATAGCCCAATGAATGGGTGGTTAGGTAGGTAGATAGATAACCTAATTGTTGTGCAGTGGTTAAGATGTAGGTAGGGTACTGAAACATGGCTCTGCCACCTTCTTGGGCAAACCTGTTCTCACAGCTGTAAAATAGTACCCACCTCAAAGGGTTGTTCCCAGGACACATGAGAAAAGACACATAAGCTCTTAGAAGATTGCCTGGCATGTAGTCAGTACTCAGTAAATGTGGTTGTGTGTATTTGTTTTTCTAATATCTTTGGTATCAGCCTTGATATATGATGTCTTTTTTACAAAGAGATAACCTTTTAGCAATAGAGCTATAAAAATGAATTATTTTCACCCTAATGACTTGTGTTCCTACTAATGGCTGAGATTTGAGCCAGCCTGGTAGAGATTTAGTTGATGAAGAGGCTGGAGGCTTGAAAAGATGTGGCGCTGGAAATGAGAACAGGGTTGGTGTGAACGGCCTGCATTTGAATTGTGCTTCTGCACAATTGCACCATCTTTTGTCCCTCCGTGTCTATGTTGTTGTCTGTAGATGAAAAAATTAAATATCTACCATATAGGATTGTTGTGAGAGTGAAATTAGATTGTATCAATAAAGCACCCGCCACGTTGTTGTTGTTAACTGCTGTGGAGTCCGTTCCGACTCATAGAAATCCTGTACGGGGTTTCCGAGACTTTAAATCTTCATGGGAGCAGAAAACCTCATCTTTCTCCTATGGAAAGCATCCAGTAGGCTGGAACAGGAGACCTTGTGGTTTGCAGTCCAGTGCTTATTGTATGTAGCCTAGTTCTACTTCTGGTAGAGCCACCACACTTCCCACCTGTTATATAGGGACTCCTGGTTTGGCATTGTAGGATCAGCACTGGACTGCAAACCACAAGGCCGGCAGTTCAAACCCATCATGTGCTCCTCAGAAACTCTACACAGGGTCTCTATGAGTCGGAACCGACTCAACAGCATTTAACAACAACCAATATGTAGAAAGAAACCCTGGTGGTGTAGTGGCTGCTAGCCAGTGAAGGTTAGCAGTTTGAACCCACCAGTTGCTCCATGAGAAAAAATACTTGGCAATGTGGCACTCTAGGCTAATCACAAGGTCGGCAGCTCAGTCTCACTCCAAATGGCTGGTTCCTTGGAAAGCCTACTCAGGGTTGCTGTGAGTGAGAACTGACTGAACAGCACTTCACAACCACAACATCTGCTGTCAGGATTACAGCCTAGGTAACCCTATGGCGCAGTTCTACACTGTCCTGCAGGGTCACTGTGAGTTGGAGTCAAGTTGATGCGTACAACATCGACAGTATGTGGTCTGCTTCTGACTGAAGGCCTTGAAAACCCGGTGGAGCACAGTTCTTTCTGTCACACATGGGGTCACCATGAATTAGGGTCAACTCAATAGCAACTCACAACAACAGCAGAGCATTTGTTATTTCTTGTCTGAGTTCTTTCTCTTATGGAAAACGTAAACTTAAATGCAGACATTATCATTTATTTCAGTGATGGAATTGAAATTTCAACTTTCAGCATCAAAGGCAATCAGCATTAACTGGTAACACAGGAGGCATTGTTAGGCCAATGTGGTACTGATCTCTTAGTAGTGTACTGGTTATGAATTGGGCTGCTAACCTCAAGGTCTGCAATTCAAAACTACCAGCCATTCCGAGGGAGAAAGATGAGGCTTTCTGCTCCATAAAGATTTACAACTTTGGAACCCTTTTGCAGCATTGCTGTGAGTCAGAAGTGACTCTACAACACACCACCACTACCACCATGACTTTACTGTAACAGACCATGATATACTTAATCAACATCCCAGTGGTCTCCAGAATGAGTAAATAGTAAATGTTGTTGTTAAGTGCCGTGGAGTCGGTTCTAACCCATAGTGACCCTGTACAGAGTTTCCGAGGGTGTAAATCTTTATGGGAGTAGAAAGCCTCATCTTTCTCCCGCGGAGCAGCTGGTAGTTTCGAACTGCTGACCTTAAAGGTTCACAGCCCGATTCATAACTACTACGCTACCAGAGCTCCTTAAATAGTAAATAGTCTTAAGTAAAAACCCAGGGTTTTTCTAAAGAAAACTCAGCTCCCAACAGAATATTGCAGATTCAATGAATTAAATAGCACTGCTTCTTTGTTGTTGTTGTTAAGGATCTTTGATTGTGTCCCAACTCATAGCAGCCCTGTATAGAGTTTCCAAGGAGCGCCTGGTAAGTTTGACCTGCTGACCTCGTGGTTCAAACGGACCTTACGGTCTAACGCTCTACCCTGCAGCACTAGCAGATGCTATGGTATGTTCAGTATATTACCTAATTAAATCCTCTCAACACTCTAAGAAGTTGCGATTCTTAGCTCTTATTTCTCTGACTGATGCCAAATAGCAGTTTGTGTTGGCTGTAGCTAGGGTCTGACTGGCCATATTGTTTGTTTTAAATCTTATGTTACCACTAACAGTTATCCCACCTCTTACCTGTGGTTCCTGTTTCCATTCCCCCTACATTCTCATCCCTTCTCAACTTTGTCCATAGGTAAATGTTGCCCTTTTGGTCTTGAATAACTGACCATATAGTGAGCATACCTTACAAGTGCTGTCCCCATTATATGCTTACCTACTGCTTGGCTGAATATTGGGCCACAAGGGTGAGTTCTATTCCAGACCTGAAGGGTGGCCAAGAGCCATAGTCTAGGGTTCATCCAGTCTTTTTCTAATCCGCAAGCCTTATCTTTTTTTCTAATATAATTCTGAGTTTTGTTCCACATTTTCTGCCGCTCTCTCAGGAACCTTCTACTGTGATCCCTTTCAGAGCAGTTGGTGGTGGTAGCCGGACACCGTCTAGTTCTTCCTTGATCACTACTCTCCATGTCAGTCCTGCATATGTTGGAGTAGAACTGTGCTCCATAGGGTGGATCCACCAGATGAGTTTTCAGCAGATTACCAGGCACATCTGAGTGGACTTTAACTGCCAAACTGTCAGTTAGCTTGTTGTTAAGTGCCGTCGAGTTGGTTCTGACTCATAGCGACCCTGTATAGGGTTTTCAAGGAGCTACTGGTGAGCTTGAACCGCTGACCTTGTGGTTCAAACTGACTTTGCAGTCCAGTGCATTAACCCACAGTGCCATACCCAGGCTCCTTTCAGTTAGCAATTGAGCATATTAACCATTTGTACCACTCAGTGACTCCTTTTCTTGCCTTTTCTTTTTAAAAATCTAATCATTTTTATTTCCAACATCATATAATGAGACGTTGTTGGAAATAACGTAGCTGGTGAGACAGTCTTAGAAGTCGAGCGAGTCACGTCTTGCCCACTCTATTTGTCCCCACACCCCTTATGTCAGAAAGGGACTTGTTCTGATTTGTTCTTACCTTCTCCAGCAGGGCCCGTTGATCAGCCACTTGCCAAGGCGTTCTGCCCGTCGGCCTGCATTGTGGAGTATGGGAAAGCCCTGGACATCAGCTACCTGCAGTACCTTTGGGAGGCCCACACCAACATTCTCCGCTGCATGAGGGACTGCCGTGTCTGGTCTGCCGTCTATGATGGAGAGTCCCCCGACACTGAGACTTTCCTCCAGAGCCTTTCTGAGGAAGGCGGTAGGAGCTCAGACTACCCTGTGTTGGGACTCCAGCACCCATTCCCCAGTAAGCCGGGGCCTCAGCTGGCTCCGAAAAAGGAGAAGAGCCAGACGGAGCTGGAGTGGGACGATAGCTACGACACGGGCATCTCCTCTGGGGCTGATGTGAACTCCCCCGGGCCCTACGAGACTCTCGAGAACTCAGGCCCCCCTGTGCCCATTGATCCTCCCAAACACATCCAGGAGATGAAGAAGAATGCTCTCTTGCTCTTCAAAGGGGCCTACATTGAAGAGTCAGACTTCCAGGATGATGTGATGGTATACAGGTTGTGCGCTGAGAAGGACTGTGAGGACACGAGGAACTGCCAGGAGGAAACTACAGGGGCACCAGCCAGAGCCCAGACGGAGGACCTACCCACCCCCGTGAACAACAGCCCCCTTCCCAGCCCCCAGCCAGAAACAGATGCAGGGCAACTCAATCCGGACAACTTGGATTTGCTGCCAACTGTGTCCAAGGATCCAACACAAGAGAATGAGCCTGAGGTAGCAGCCCCAGAATCAAACTCGCTCACATCCCCTGTCTCTGAGCCAGAGCACAGCTCAAGACTGACAGTTACTGACACAGAGAGAGAAGATTTCATGGCCCAGTATGACCAGATCATTAAAGAACTGGATTCTGGCACGGAGGGCTTGATAGAAGAGAATTTCCCAGCCCCTGACCCTTCGCTTTTCACAACGGAGGAAGAGAGGAAGGAAGAAGAGAGCCAAGAAGAAAAGGAAGAGGGAGAGGAGGCGGGGAAGAAGGAGCTAGAAGAGGAAGAGGACGACTTTGACTCTTTCATGGCAGAGGCTCCTGCTGATACCGTGCCTTCCCCATTCGGGCCCAGAGATGACACTGCCGGTCATCCCCCAGGGAGGACTCAGTGCGCCCCTTTCACAGGTGACGGTCTTAACTTGCCTTGTGGTTTCTGCCCTTGAAAGTGTGTATGTGCACTGGAACAGGGAAGTAAAGTGCATGGAGGTAAGGCGTACTGTCAGCTCACGCCAGGAAAAACATTTTTGTAAAGAGCAAAAAGAAGTGGTTTAATGTTAGTTTCATTTTACTTTGTCTTATTTGCTCAGCAAAATTAAGGGCTAAGCTTTACTATTTAGTAACTTCCCTTGATCTGCCTGTGATTAATCGGGCTGATTAAGCTATAGAAATCCAGTCTCAGTATTTCATAGTCTCATTTCCTTTAGTCTGATTTATTTTTCTCCCTAGCACTTACTTTTAATGTGCACTTAAGGAAAAAAAAATTATGTCATTCTCCCCAACTGGAACATAGGCTCCATGAAGGTGGAGATGTTGGTTTGTTCTCTGCTTTGTCCCCAGCACCTGAACAGTGCCCAGAGCACATAGTGGGAGCTCAGTAAATACTCGTTGTATGAATATAGCTGTGTGCTGGAGAGCTCGTTTCAGAGAATCACAAAATCGGTATTCAGTTATAGAGTAGACCCACATTCAACCCATCTCTCTACTGAAGCATGGGTGTACTCTAGTACTACATCCCAACTCCGGGTGGACACCATGGATGAGGAGATGGGACAAGGATTGGCTAGCAGATAAGTGGGCTGGGATAAAGAACTTGTGATAGAAAACACTACTGAGTATTAACTGGTAACATGTGAACCTGCAAATCTTGGCAAAGAGGGTTCACTGCAATCGGGGAAGGTGGGGTGGGACCCCTGAAATTCAAGTTCAAGTCACAAGGAGAGGTCCTGGAAGAAGCTAATGACAGGGCTCCAGCATGCCTTTGGCCTCTCTGACCCTCCCTGCTCCTGTGAGGATCTAATAGGAGACTGTGGTGGTCATGTAGTTTTCATGGGAGTGTGAAGGCACCCCGCTCCCACCATCTGGGATTGCCCAGAGTAGAGTAACTCCCCCCAATATTTATGCATCTATTTACAAAAGCCAACACGTGGCGCTGTGGGCTAATGCATCAGACTGCAAAGTTGTTTGAACTGCAAGGTTGGTGGTTCAAGCTCACCAACTGCTCATTGGAAACCCTGTATAGGGTCGCGATGGGTCAGAATCGACTCGATGGCACTTAACAACAACACATTTATTTAGAGTCTTGGTGTGGCACTACAGGTTAACACGCTGGACTGCAAGGTCGGTTTGAGGAGCCCTGCTCTGTGTGAGTCGGGATGGACAGCACTTCACAACAACAACACATGTTTACTTAAACATGAAGAAACTGTTTAATTCCACAATTAAAGGACTTGAGGTTCTAGTTGAGATTACATTTCAGTATGAATGGATTTTAATTAACATTCAGTCACTGAATGGTAAGTAAAAGGATTACGGTAATCTTGCCTTCCCCACTGGATGAAACAAGAGGGTTAGAGGTGTATGTGTTGGGGGGTAGGTGTGGGGAACTTTGACTGACAGAAGTTGGGCAAGCACACATTCAGAGCAGGTGTAACCTAGCACCACTGCCGGCTCTCATCAAGCTGGTGCTGCTCATGGTGTGTGTGTGTGTGTGTGTGTGTGTGTGTGTGTTTTGGGGCTCTCTTCTGAGGAGCCTCTGGGTGGTCTTCCACTGCCAACATTTCAGTTAGTATCTGAGTTATGGTAACCATTCTCACCACCTGGGGACTCCAGGAGTAACCTAGAAACTTGAGGTTTTGCTGAAGGCCTACCCAGTTTACTCTCACTCAGCAGGAAACGCTAAGCTTTGTCCTGTGGACTGCCCACGGCTAATGAAGGCTCCTATTCAGAATGCCAGCTTTCTTATAAAGAAGCTTCATCCCTGAGAAATATGTAAATTGAGGAAACAAAGCATACCTTAGGGCAAATAGAAAGCTAAGACAGCCTTATTAAACGCCAGTATTTTGCAGGTGCAATGCCTGAGAACTGACAAACATGATTCTTTGATACATACACATACTTTTACATAAGACCTTACCTTTTTCCTCCTCTGAAATATACACACAGCTTCAGGAAACATCTTTTTTCTTTCCATGTGCATGAGCTCTGTAGTTTCTACACTTCTGAGTATTTCTTCAGCAATTGGCTTAACCATCTTCTCTTCAGAAAATGGATGGGTCTGCGTCCCAAGAAAATCAAAGCATTCCAAATTTATCATGCATTCCCCAATCTTTTATTGATAACCTGGTATTTGGCAGGCATGTGATGCTGTAAGATAAGTACTGTTGTGGTAATGGCAAAGTCGGCAGTTCAAGTCCACCAGCTGCTCCTTAGAAACCCTATACAGGATGGCTTTGGGGACCTTCATTTACTGTTGTTGTTGTCAGGTGCCATCGAGTCGGAACCGACTCATAGCGACCCCATGCACAGCAGAACGAAACAATGTTCGATCCTGGGCCAACCTCACTACC